ATTTTGTCACACTGTTTTTGCCATCACATCTGATAATGATTAGAAGGGACGCTGATAACGTTATGAGCCAGTAGTTTGCGTCTAGTTCTTGCACATTGTAGTCACTAGCGAGTAAGATTGAGGTTTGGTAAGTCTTGGGAAGTGTCCCTGTTGACTTCAGGAGTTGGGCATCGCAAATGGCATCGCTGTCTATAGGGTATTGTAGAAGGTTAGAACATATCCTTGTGTTATTATCAAGAGGTTTGCAGTGATCCAGGTTTTGGAGTAATATGTACAATAAAGAATCGTCATCTCTCGCGATATATTTTTGAGTTATTGGTAAAATATGATGAAAGCTTGTTCGATTATCCAAAATCGAAATAGGGTAGATGTGATAAAGAGTGTATATCTCAGGTTCGATCAGGGGTATTCTAAAAATAAAGACAATTTTACCTTCTGATTGATAAGCTTCTAAATCAATTATATCCAGGTATCGTGCTACATATGGAAGATATGTAGGTAAAGGAAGGTTATTTTTGGATAAAGAGCGTGGTATTTCCTGTAAGGAGGCGAACAAGTCTCTAGGAGTTATAATTGAGGTATGTAAGATCTTTAAGCGTGCAAACGTTATTGCTTCTAGAATGTCATTAAGGGAATTTTCCAGAAAGACGTAGCTTTCCATTAATGATTCACAGAGGTTTAGAGTTCTGGTTTGGACTTCGTAAAACCTTAAATCCTGCGAAATATCAGATATTAATTCTCTGATTTCTGCTATATTGATGTTGAATGCTTCTTCATCGATTTGGTGTTCCCGAATAGTAGATTTAAAAAAAATGATTACTGAGGTGGTTACAGAAATTTGGTTTTTAAGTAAACTCTCAAGTTCTCGTTCGTCTATTCACCATCGGTAGAGTCTAAGTTTCCGGTGATTGATGTAAAGATACTTCCTATTCCGGTTCCGGTACACTTTACGGACACACGAATTTTGCAAAATTTTAAATTTCATGAGAAAGAGGCTCTTCTATAAAATATTAAAAAAAAAAAAAAATTGCGGATTATCCAGTAGTTTTTGAGAAATCAATTATTTCCACTCGGTGCTGAGTTGATGCTTGTTCACGTTAAACTACCTTTATTCTTTGTACATTTTCTCGTGAAACAAGGAGCAATCTAAATTTCAAGGTGTTATATTTAAGAGTTTTCCCGTTTTTGGTGGATATACGTTTCCGAGGATCTTCTCTTTGAGACTTGGCAAGCGGAGCGAGCAATCCAAGAAAAAAAAAATATAAAAAATAAGAATTTCAAGGCTATTTTTTTTCACGTTTTTTTTGGGGATTCACGTTTCCGAGGATCTTCTATTTGAGATTTAGTGAGTGGAGCGAGCAATGGAAAACTCATAAATTATTTAAATTTTAAGGTGTTATATTTAAACGAGTATTTTAAGGTTCTGGTGCACTATAAGTACCTCAAAACTAGACATGTTTTCTTTATAGACAGTTAAGTTTTATCTCAAAATAGTTTACGGGGACTAGTACGCAGTACAAAGATGGGTTAGTTTGGGTTAGTTTGCATGTTTTTGATCAGTTTCAATACGGCACAGTAGTTACTGTTGGTTGGAGTGTACACATTTCAATAGTTAAATAGGTATTATACGCTTTATCATTACTCAATAATGTTTTTTTCGAAAAATGGTTTGAACACCTTCTTTCAGTTCGAATATCTACGACATGATGCTTTTCATGTTTATTGAATTTTTATCTGTTAACCAGAGCGATTGTGATATTAGGCTGATAAAAATAGATATTATATATTGATCTGTCAAAGGTTGAGAAGAGGATTCACTCAATATTTATCAAATCCAATTTATACCTAGTTATTTGCGCCAACGTTATACCTTTTTCTCAAGTTTTTCTTTTTTCTTAGGGTTTTTTTCTTTCTAAATGATTATTAAGATGACAGGTTAGTTTCAGTTAGTTTGGATTTATTCTGTTTCGTTTAAAATGCCAACATACTAGCACTTATTACGAGCACGTGTCCAGCTGTTTGGTTTGGTTTGGATTAATTAGTTTTCAACAAAAAAAAGTACATGATTCTTAGATTTTTCGCTTTTAAACTATACTATTATACACTACTCCTCACTTTTTAAATTTTGAAATTTTTGCAAATATCGAGGTACTTATAGTGCACCAGCCCCTATTTAAAAAAAGGGTTTTTCTCCGAATGACAGTAAAAGCGGCCTTTTAATGACACTTGACAGGATCAAAAGTTGTATTTTTACTGCCTAGGCAGTAAAAGTGGACTTTTACTGCCTAGGCATTAAAAGTGACAGTGTCACAACGTTCCAGGTAATAATTTCACTCAATTTGCTATTTGAAATTGATGGTGACAATGACAATTGTCAAAATAATTTAATTATTTGGATAATAATAATGAATGAAATAAATATAAAAAAGATGTCCATGTGTGAATTTGAACATTCGAAGAAAAAATTATATGTTTTACATGGCAGAAAAGCAGATTTAATGCCTCGGCTGGTTTCCTAGCCTCGGCTATGCCTCGGCTATGAAACACCAGCCGCGGCATTAAATCTTGTACTTTTCTGCCTAGTAAAACAAATAACTATTTTCTGGTTTTTGGTGGATTTACATTTTCGAGCATATTCTCTTTGAGATCCGGCGAACGAAGCGACAGTATCGCGAATATCACATTTTCAACAATTTAAGTTGTTGTTTTTTTTTCTAAATACTGGATAATCCGCATTTTTTATTTTTTTAATAAACTACTTGAAGTACCCTCTTTCTGATAAAATTCAGAAAAACGCCAATTTTGTGTGTCCGTGAAGTGTACCGGCACCCCTATTCCATTAATTAGTTCACGTTTGTTTCTATAGTTTGTGTCGTCAGCGATTTCATTTAGTTTCTGGTCGATTGAATCAGCAACTTGAATTAAAAGGCTGAAATGAGTTTGAACTTCAACATTGAAGGCTGTCATTTGAGGAGAAGGGTCATCAATTATTTTGGTCAGGCTAGTGAGAATCTTTTTATTGTTCTGAATAGTTTCTCTGAATGATTCTATTTCTTTGTAAACTAAAAGGGTCCATTTATCATTTGAGACTCTGAAATCACCTTCTTCGTGATCCAACTGTTTTGTTAATTGGAGTTAGAAGAGCGTACTCAAGAAGAAATTGAGGGGTGACGACTGAAATCAGCCCGACGAGTCTGGAAAAGAATAGACTAGTCATAGAACGGCTTTAGTCTATCAAAGTTAAATTTCGAAAATTGATTTGTTTTGAGGTATTTCACTTTCGCTGAGTTTCTGTGAACCTCGATCATTTCGAAAGGTCCGTTAAAAAAATTTTGAACTTTGTCTTTTATTTGAGTTTTTTTGAAATACGCCTTGTCACCTGCTTTATATTCTGTAAGATTTTGTGAGACCGTCTTGTCGAACCTTACTTTCGACTTTTCTTACTGGATATCGGTTCTGCCTTGAGCCATTCTATAATAATATTCCATTCTGTTGTTGAGGTCTCGTATGTAATTGGAGATTAGCTGTTTTTGATTTTAAAGAGCCTCAGGGGGTCTATTCGACGTATGGCCAAAGATTAACTCGAAAGGTGTGAATCCGTGTGTCTTATTTTTGGTATTATTATAACAGATTAACTGCGTACGGGAGAATGTTGAATGAATGTTCATCTGGATATTCCGCTTTATGGACGCGGATCATCTCCATTAAAGTTGCATGGAATCTTTCCAGCGATCCGTTGGATTGTGGGTGGCTTACGCTTGAAAATGTCAATTTTATGTCAGAGATCTTTGAGTAAGGCGTTGTTGAATTCACCTCCACAATCACAGTGAATTCTTAAAGGTGTACTGTTATGTTGGAAGAGTACTAGTACGGTGTTAGCAATTGTGGACGCCTTTTTGTCTGAAATTGGGTAAGCTTGAGTGAATTTGGATTCATCCCTAACTGTTAGGGCATAGTTACAAACTGGATATTCAAAAAGGTCAAAGTTTATCCTTTCAAATGGAGTTTTGGGAGTTTCAGTAATAACGAGATGAGAACTGAGATTTTTCTTACAGATTTTGACTTTTTGGTAGATTTCACAGGCTCTGATGAATTTCTCAACATCTTCGACGATGTAAATTTGTTTTTCCAGTATGATATTGGTCCAGGATAATTGGGATTTGGTCTTGATCTCGGGTTTTGACGATATTTTGGCATATCTTAAGCTTAATGTTTTTTTCGGCAAATATAAAGAAAAATATTTCAAGAATAGGTAATTCCAGGTTGTTTTCTATGCAAAAGGTTTTTTGGCTCAAATTCGTTTTGACACTTGAAAAGCGAGTAAAAGAGAGTAGGGACTATTTTCTCATTTTTGCAAGGAATGGGAATAGTGATGAGCGAGACTGGTCTTAGTCTTGCGGTCTTGGTCTTGCAGAAAATGCAAGACCAAGACCAAGACCACTATTAAACTGCAAGACCAAGACCAAGACCGAGCAGTGCAAGACTTATGCACGACCAAGACTTAGCATTGCAAGACTTACGCAAGACCAAGACCGAGCATGCAAGAGTCTTGCGGTTTTTGTTCCATTTTTTCTAAATATTACTAAAATTTAGTATGATATATATGATTTATATGATATTTGATATAGTTGTTTGTAGTTGAATATAACATATCTAACTATTGTCATAGACTCTGTTACTGTGAAAATCAAAAAAACATTCTAACTTTTAAAAACTCTAACCTCGAATATGACGATACTTATGATAGGCAAATGTCCATACAAAATGAACTTCGTACAGAACATTTAAACGAAGAAAAAGAACCAATTACCAACTTATGTCTGAACTTTTCCGACATTTTCTACCTAGAAGGTGACACGCTCACATTTACTACTGAAATTGAACACCCTATTGACACCAATAAAGCAAAGCCTGTGTATACCAGATCTTGTAGTCGTGAAATCCATACAACATATGTATAGACGTGGTATAGACAGATTAGTCGTTTTTTTCCTGACTAGGGCAATATGATTTTGGTAATGGTGGATCAGAGTTCGAAGACTTCCTTCACCTGGAGGAGTTCTTAAAAACTGCTAAAGAAGAGGATTTGTTTGTAATTTTACGTCCTGGTCCCTATATTTGCTCAGAATACAATTTTGGTGGTTTTCCTGCTTGGCTCCTGAGGGAAAAAACGATGGGATTCAGGACTTCTGAACCGACCTACATGAAATTCGTTACCAGGTACCTAATCAACAATAATGATCCAAAATCTAATCCAAAATAAAATCATTTTCTGTAGATATTTCAATATTCTTCTGACTCTTCTTGCCGCATTCCAATTTACTAAAGGCGGTCCAGTAATTGCGTTTCAAGTGGAGAACGAATATGGAAACCAAGAAGCTGGAGACGAATTTCAACCTGACAAAGCTTATTTGGAACAACTCAGACAACTCTTCATCAATAATGGCATTGTAGAACTACTAGTTACTTCGGATAGTCCTTTATCGCATCAGGATAAAGGTACGTTACCTGGCATATTCCTGCAAACAGCCAATTTAGGAGCCAGCGTAACGGAGCAACTAGATAAATTAGAAGAGCTGCAGCCTGGTAGGCCATTAATGGTAATGGAATATTGGGTTGGTTGGTTTGATTTTTGGGGCCAAAACCATACCGGTAAAAGTGATGGTCAAACTCGGAGATATTTGAAACTTATTTTGGATAGAAATGCTTCATTCAATGCATACATGTTCTTAGGAGGCACTAATTTCGCTTTTAACAGTGGAGCAAGTTTGAGTAAGAGCCTATTCAAATAGCTTTTGGTACCTAATTTATTCGAACTTTTTAGGTCATACTTTCGAAGCAATTACTACAAGTTACGATTATGATTCTCCTCTAAGCGAAAATGGCCAATATACAAGCAAATATCACATTTTTAAAGAGTTAGTCGATGCAGCTAATCCTGTAAAAACCTTTATTCCTGATGTTCCCGAAGCCACTGTTCCTGTGGCTTATGATTCTGTAAAATTGGACAGAGTCATTCCATTTAAGACCTTATTGGAAAATAATGCTCCTATAATTATTGAAAGTGATCAATTGTTGCCCATGGAAAAATTGGATATTAACAACAATTCTGGACAGAGTAATGGATATATTGTTTATAGAAAGGAAAATGTTGATTTGGAAGCAAATTCTGTTTTGACTATTGAAGGTTTACATTTAATTTTTTTTTGAAGTATAGATGGAACTGAATTGTCTTATTTTTTTCCAGGTAAAGTCTGTGACCATGTCCTTGTGCTAGTTAATGGCGAGCTTATAGCTCCAAAACAACTAAAATACGCATCTGAACTTGATGGATTTGGTTTCTACAGGCTGCAAAATTCCAACGTAACTCTAAACCGAGAAGCAATACATGGGGCTACTTTGGATATTGTCGTTGAAGAATGGGGACGCATGAACGGTGGAAAATATAATCAGTACAATAACACTTTCAAGGGACTTTGGCAAGGTAATTTTCTTTATTCGGTTCGCGATCCAGAAGCCAATTTTAGCTGAAAAGAGCGACATAGAGCCTCATACCACGTAGCACGTTGTCTTATATCAACCTAATACCTGGAGTACCGAAATATACGTGGCTTGCACATTGATAGAAAATTTAATTATTTCCAGGAAATGTTTCAATAAACAACCAAAACATTTTCAATTGGAAAATCGTTCCATTCGAATTGAAAAAGCAGTGGGTAAATGAACTTGAAGGTTGGCAAGAGTATTCCAGTGGATTGATTGAGCCTGCAATGTATAGTAGCATTTTGAATATCGATGATGCACCTGAAGATACCTTTGTTGATATTCGAGGATGGGGCAAAGGTAGAGCTAATCCATTTATTAAAACATGATTGATAATTTGGTCAATTCATTTCTAGGTATGGTTTTTGTTAATGGATTTCCTCTGGGAAGATACGCAGCAGTTGGTCCACAACGAACACTTTATCTGCCAGCTCCTTTATTAAAACAAGGACAAAACCGAATCAATTTCTTGGAGCATTTTTATGCGCCTGGAGATGGTTTAGTCAAATTTGCCACAAAATTAATTTTCGAAGATGTATTTTGATTTTTCCGGGTTTACAAACTATGCATTGCAAACGCCTAAGATATAACATTTTATCATGAATAAACGTAAATCATAAAAAGATTAGCTTGGCTAAAAATAGAAAAGTGTTTTCGATTTCAAACCGATTCTTTTTTCAACAATGACGATTTCTTTATGAAGCTTCGTTATTTTTATCCTTATCCTTTGTACTTTCATTTCAAGGAAACATAGGTACCATCGTCACCAAAAGTATCTGGGACACAAATAATGCCTAATAATCTCCTGGACTAATTCTACTGTCATTCATTTTAATGCATTTAATTCATAGTTTGACAAACATTTGACAATAAAATTCATATAATAGGACAAGAGCTAATGTGATGCTGTCCCAGTTACTTTTGGTGACGATGGTACATACATACTCCATTTCACGTGGCTGAAGTTATAGTATTTGTAATACCCATTTAGAATAACCCCATCCTTATTTATCACCCAAGAATCAGATGAAACAAAACATTACCAACAAAAACGCCCGTCGATTGCTAATACGTCAATTTCATGTACAAATAGGAAATTCCTCGACGTATCGTGACTATTTAGTGTAATCAGTTGCTTTGTAAAAACACAATACACTGGAATTTTCTTTTTTAAATTTCCTCTTATACGCCCCTACGTAAAAATGAAAGTTCGTGACGTAGTTAGTTTTTCCAATCTGGCAACTGGCAACACATCACGTTTTTGAGAACGCACAATTTGCACTGACATTGACCGTCAAGAACGAAACGTCAAATTTACCACATCAAACAACGTAAACAAGTTACTGTGACAATGTTACACGATTCACACGATACCACACGTCGTTGAACTGTTGGAGTCAGCTGTCGTTTAGAGGCATTTTGAGCAGCGTTGCCAGAATACTATTGGTCGCCGCCGTGGCGCTAAATTCAAATTAAAGTTTATTTTTCTCTGACTAATTCTATAGACACTATGCTGGAAAATAATTTAGTATAGAACTATACCGTCACCATTTGGCCTATAGAATAATATCGAGCAGTTTTTTTACTGATTTTCATACATAGTTATACTACGCCATTGGTAGAGAATTTCTTCTTCCGGAAAAGGTAGACATAACCCTTAGGCACATTCGAGGATATCTTCTCCAGTCAAGTTAGGTCTAAGAGATTCACTACGAAGAGAAATCGATAATTTGTTTAAAAATTCGTGGAAAATTAATGATACTTTGTGTAGGGATTTTTTGAAATTTGAGGAAGATTGACTTGACCCTCAAGCACATTCAAGAATATTTTTTCCAGTCAAGGTGGTCTGGGAGAGTCGCTACGGGGGAAATCGATAATTTGTTCAAAAATTCGTGAAAAATTAATGATGCTTCGAAGGGATTTTTTGAAATTTAAAGAGGATAGAGTTGACCCTTACGCATATTCGAGAATATTTCTTACAGTCAAGTTAGGTCTGGGAGAGTCACTAGAGGGGAAGTCGATAATTTGTTTGAAAATTGGTGATCTTGAAAATGATGCTTTGAAGGGATTTGAAGTTTGAGGATGATGGAGTTGACCTCTAAGCACATTCGAGAATAGTTACGGGGGAAACTCGATAATTTGTTTGAAAATTCGTGAAAAAATAATTATGATTTGTAGGGATTTTTTGAAATTATGAGGATGATAGATCGAGAATAGTTTTGGCAGCGAAGTTAGGTCTGGGGAGTCACTACGGGGGGACGCCGATAATTTGTTGGGAAACTCGTGAAAAAATAATGATGCTTTGTAGGGATTTTCTGAAGTTTGAGGATGATAGAGTTGACCCCTAAGCACATTCGAGAATAGTTTTGGCAGTCAAATTAGGTCTGAGAGAGTCGCTACGGGGGGAAGTCGATAATTTGTTTGAAAATTCGGAAAAAAATAATGATGCTTTATAGCGATTTTTTGAATATTGAGGATGATAGAATTAACCATTAAGAACATTCGAGAATAGTTTTTGCAGTCAAGTTAGGTCTGCGAAAGGCCACTACAGGGGGAAGTCGATAACTTGTTGGGAAATTCGGGAAAAAATAATGATGCTTTGTGGGGATTTTTTGAAGTTTGAGGATGGTAGTGTTGACCATTAATCCCATTCGAGAATAGTTTTGGCAATCAAGTTAGGTCTGGGAAAGTGACTACGAGGAAAAATCGATAATTTGTTGGAAAATTCGTGAAAAATTAATGATGCTTTGTAGGTTTTTTTTTTGAAATTTGAAGAGGATAGCGTTGACCCTTAAGCACATTCGAGAATAGTTTTTGCAGACAAGTTAGGTCTGGGAAAGTTACTACGGTGGGAGTCGATAATTTGTTTGAAAATTCGTGAAAAATTAATGATGCTTTGTAGGGATTTTTTGAAATTATGAGGATGACAGTTGACCATTGAGCACATTCAAGAATAGTTTTTGCAGTCAAGTTAGGGCTTAGGCCTGGGAAAGTCACTACGGGGGGAAGTCGGTAATTTGTTGAAAAATTCGTGAAAAATTAATGATGCTTTGTAGGGATTTTCTGAAGTTTGAGGATGATAGAGTTGACCTATAGGCACATTCGAGAATAGTAATTGCAGTCAAGTTACGTCTAAGAAAGTCACCACGAGGGGAAGTCGATAGTTTGTTGGAAAATTCGTGAAAAACTAATGATGTTTTGTAGGGATTTTTTGAAGTTTGAGGATGATGGAGTTGACCCCTAAACACATTCGAGAATAGTTTTTGAAGTCAAATAAGGTCTGGGAGAGTCGCTACGGGGGGAAGTCGATAATTTGTTGGAAGATTCTCAAAACAATAACAATGATGCTTTGCATTGATTTTTTGAAGTTTGAGGATGATAGAGTTGACCCTTAAGCACATTCGAGAATAGCCTCCGCAGTCAAGTTAGATCTGAGAGAGTCACTACGGGGGAAGTCGAACCTTAAGCACATCCGAGAATAGTTTTTGCAGTGAAATTAAACTGGGCCAGTCACTACGGGGGAAGTCGATAGTTTGTTGGAAAATTCGTGAAAAATCAATAATTCTTTGTAGGGATTTTTTAAATTTTGACGATGATAGAGTGAAGTGGCCTATTGAGCAAATGGCACATGAAATCTTTTTGATTTTTTTTCTAGACATTTTTCTACATAGTTTTTTTTTAATTGGGTAGGTAAACACGTTATCTCACGGAAAACAGTTAAGGTCCCTGTTCCAAATAAGGCCACATTAAGAAGTTTTATTTTTTCCTAACATTATCCACCAAACCCAACAAACATTACGAGCCTATATGTGAAGTGTTTCGCTTCTATCACTTGAATATTAACTCCAATTTATTTATTTTTCCATATAAGTGATGGTTTTTGCATAAAACAAAGACGCTTACCATTGGCCTTATTTAGATCACTATGCTCCTAATAAGGCCACCAATAAAAAATGTTTAAAATAAATACAATTATTTATAATAGCTATTTATATAACAAGTACATAAAGTAAATAAATAAAGGCTTTATTGTACGAATAATTTTATGGCCGAGCGAGCTTGCGAGCGAGGCTATTAAATAATGAGTCAATAAAGCCTGTTTATGTAAGCGTTATATACATGATTTTATGTACGATTGCGACTGGTTTTTGTTAAAAATTTAAAAAAAAAATTAATGAAAAAGTAAAATTCGCGTAGGTATACCTGTTAAACCTTGGTAGGTTGTCAGGACCTGTTTCACCTTGGCAGGTTGTCAGGACCTGTTTCACCATGTCAGATAGTCCAAGTAGGCAATAAAGTAGCACTTTATTTTACTAGTACAATAAAGTGCTACTTTATTGACACAAAACTGTTCTATAAATAGCACTTTATTGGTCAATCGGACATAAAAATATTATTATTTGAGAAATAGTAGACAAAATAGAACTTATATGTTTGCTGCATTCTTTAAAAAAAAAAACAATAATTCCAAGTCCTGGGATGGTGATCGAAATAGGTCTACATACAACTAGGACAAATGAACCGCAGCATCTCTTGCTTGGTTAGACTTCAGGCATTTCAAAAAACATCAGTAAGGTAATAATGACACATTCTTTTAAAAAAACACTGTGATGTGACGCCAATTGCACATTTTTCGTATGATGGCCTTATTAGGAACATGTTAAATTGATAAAAAAAAGTCTGTAAGTAGAAATCTAGCCAAGATATTATTCTGTACTTACTCTGTAGCTTTCTCAATACATAAATGTCCGTTAAAAAATTATATTCGTACCATTTACTTTATAAACATGTGTAAAAACTAATTAAGTTCCAGCCTCAAAGTTATAACGTGACATATGAAATATGTGGTTGGTCATTTTTCGACATATAACGAGCTGCTAGGAACCCTCGCAATAATTTTTGATTGGCATTATAGATTCCTTTTTTATTAATATTATAATTTTTGAGAATGGGATTCAATATTAAGCAATTAAGGCACTGGCCTTATTAGGTGCATGGCCTTATTTGGGTCAGGTACCTTATTTATAAACATTAAAGTATCATATGAACTGGTGCCGACAGGCAATTCCAGTCTGGAGTCCTCCCACCATGCCAGTAGGTAATGAAGGTCGAGCCGAAATCGTGACCGACGCGGCGTACTGTACAGGGTGCTGCAATTTGGAGTGTTTTAACAAGAAAAACACACTTCCAGACCAGATAGACGAAAATTCACTTAGATGTCATGGGATGATTTTCGAGAAACGTCGAATGTCAAAAACCGCATCGCGATATCTTCAATGGTACCATTAATACAAGTCGATTTTCGATTTTCCCCTATTATGAAAAATGGCTATAAGTTTTTTACTTGTCAATTTTTTTTTATTTCTGTAAAAACATTATGGAGACACTTTTTTGAGCACAATCCAGTGGCGGACTCAGTTTTTTTCTATATTGTTCCGATTTCGAAATATCGACCAAACCCCGATATTTCCAAATGAAACACCCTATATAATAATAGCTCATTGGATAGCTCTGTTTTTACTGATTTCAATGATATAAACTTCGATTGGTTTATCTCTAAAAGTTTTCGAGAAAAATAGCTATTTTACTAACGAGTGCGGGAAGTTTCTTCCCGCACCCTCGTGCCGGAAGTTTCTTCCCGCAAGAGTTAGGAACTATATTTTTTCTACGAGCATACTAAAGCTGATGTTAAGGTGTATCAACAATACAAACAATTCCATGTCACAATGATTATTTCAAACTCTTCCCGCTCAGTGCGGGAAGAAATCTCTTCCCGCACAGCAAATCGTGCGGGAAGAGCCATTTCCCGCACGCTCGTAGAAAAAAAATTATATGTTTCAGTCATAAGAAACAATGTGTTAGAAAGAGACCTTCCTCTTTTTCCTTCCACATATAAAATCCTTCTCTAACACATTGGTCCTCACGACAAAAACAGATATAATTTTTTTTCTCGAAAACTGTTAGATGAGATAAACCTATCGAACTTTATATCATTGAAATCAGCAAAAACAGAGCTATCCAATGAGCTATTAATATTTAGGGTGTTTCATTTGAAAATATCGGAATTTGGTCGGTATCTCGAAATTGGAACGATATAGAAAAAAACTGAGTCCGCCCTGGATTGTGCTCAAAAAAGTGTCTCCATAATGTTTTTACAGAAATAAAAAAAATTGATAAATAAAAAACTTATAGCCATTTTTCATAATAGGGAAAAATCGAAAATCACCCTGTATCAATGGTACCATTGAAGATATCGTGATACGGTTTTTGACAATTGACGCTTCACAAAAATCGATCCCATGACGTTTAAGTCAATTTTCCTCTATCTGGTCTGGAAGTGTGTTTTTCCTATTGAAACACTCCAAATTGCAGCACCCTGTACAACGGTCAAATTGAACAAATTGTGCCCTCCATTCCACGTCGGTCATTTTAACCGAATTTTCCAAAAATGTGATGTGTGATTTTTGATAACATAAAATGTTGAAACATGTTTCTTTTATTTCTAATACATCTTTTGGATCAAAAAACCTCTTGGCGCAGGATGACCAAATCTCTCAAAACACGTTGGCAGCACATTCGACAATAGTTTTTGCAGTCTAGTCAGGTCTGGCAGACTCACTACGAGGGGAAGTCTATAATTTGTTGGAAAATTCGTGGAAAATTATTGATGCTTTGTAGGGATTTTTTGAAGTTTGGGGATGATAGAGTTGACCCTTAAGCACATTCGAGAATAGTTTTTGCAGTCAAGTTAAACTGAGCGAGTCACTACGGGGGAAAGTCGATAATTTGTTGGAAAATTCGTAAAAAATTAATGATGCTTTGTAGGGATTTTTTAAAGTTTGACCATGGTCCATGATAGAGTTGACCCTTAGGCACATTCCAGAATAGTTTTCGAAGTCAAGTTAGGTCTGGCAGAGTCACTACGAGGGAAGGTCGATAATTTATTTGAAAATTCGTGAAAAATTAATGATGCTTTTTAGGGATTTTCAAGATAATAGAGTTGACCCTTAAGCACATTCGAGAATAGTTTCTGCAGGCAAGTTAGGTCTGAGAGATTCACTACGGGGGAAAGTTGATAATTTGTTTGAAAATTGGTGAAAAATTATTGATGCTTTGTAGCGATTTTTTGAAATTTGAAGAGAGGGACTGCATGTATCTCCTCAATTCCACCCAAAGGTTGAATCTATTTTTATTTTTATATGAATGTAGATCTAATTCCAAAGAGACGCAAAGTTTAAAAAACATAGGTATATTTTCGGAATTCACATTATAACTTTGATCACAATAAATCTGATCCTCAGAAAACTCTAATTTACCAATTGCTTCTAGAATTGAAGGCATAATAATTCTTTTTTTATGTTTCCTTTCACCCATATTGTAGAAATATCTGGATTACTTTTTTAACTGAAATTATTATTGGGTTTTCAATTATGTTTATATTTACAAACACGGAACGAAAAAAGTAGAATATTGCCTATTACTTAACTTTAAAAAAATCTCCACTACCTAGAAAAACTCTATGATATGATATAAATAATTTCAAACTAACTTAAATTTTAAAGTATGATTTCACACAAACAAATGAACATAAAAAAGTTACCTATACAGGGTGTCCCACAATCAGCGTTACAGGCCAAACTTTCTCATTTTCAGAAATAAAAATTTGGAACAAAAAATAATAATAATGGCTAGTTAAGCTCTCTTCAAAAATATAAAAAAATCTTCCCCTGACAAAATCATCCCCTATTTACAACCCTTGACTTTTTTTTTTCAAATGGCACCCCTATATTTTATTTTTTATTTTTGAGAAGCTCATGAAATTACGAATTCAATGGTGTTTAAAAAGTTTGTTTTTCCATATCTTTTGCGGGAAAAAAAATGGATGTTCCATCTTTAGCCTTACACAGGCGATCACTTTTTTGTCTACAAAAATACAAATATAACAAAAAAAATTAACTGTGTGCAAATTAATCCCTCTTTAAAAATATTTAAAAAAATCTTCCCTAGCAAACTCATCCCTTTAAAACAACTCTTGCCTTTTTTTTTTCAAATAGAACCCCATTTTTATTATTTTCATTTTTCAATTTTTTTCCTAGGAAACATGGAAAAACAAACTTTTCATACATCATTGAATTTGAAATTTCATGAGCTTCTCAAAAATAAAAATAAATAATAGGGGTGCCATTTGAAAAAAACAAGTCAAGGGTTGTAAATAGGAGATGATTTTGTCAGGGGAAGATTTTATATATTTTTGGAAAGAGGTTAACTAACCATTAGTCATTTTTTTTGTTTCAAATTTTTATTTCTAAAAATAAGAAAGTTATGGTCTGTACCGCTGATTGTGGGTCACCCTGTATTAAATGAAATCAGAATTAGACAAAATTCTGGAAATGATATTATTATACATAAAATGTGCATAAAAGGGATTGTCCAAACTCCAAGTCAGCTATGTCGGCTGATAAGCGACTAGGAATCTGTGCTATAGCAACTGTTTAAATCCCAGCGAATATACGAGATACAATGGTTTACTGTTCACTTCAAAAAATCCCTACAAAGCATCATTAATTTTTCATGAATTTCGCAACAAATTGTCGACGTCCCCCGTAGTCACTCTCCCAGACCTAACTTGACTGCAAAAACTATTCTCGAATGTGCTTAAGGATCAAGTCAGTCATCTTCAAATTTCAAAAAATCTCTACAAAGCATCATTAATTTTTCAGTAATTTGCAAACAAATTATCAACTTCCTCCCGTAGTGACTCTCCCAGATCTAACTTGACTGCAAAAACTATTCTCGAATGTGCTTGAAGGTCAACTCTATCATCCTCAGACTTCAGAAAATCCATACAAAGCGTTATTTATTTTTCATGAATTTCCCAAAAAATTATCGACGTCCCCCCGTAGTGACTGTCCCAGACCTAACTTCACTGCAAAAACTATTCTTGAATGTGCCTATTGGTCAACTCTATCCTCTATCATCCTCAAACTTCAAAAAATCCCTACAAAGCATTATTAATTTTTCACGAATTTTCAAACAAATTATCGACTTGCCCGGATAGTGACTCTTCCATCCAGACCTAACTTGACTGCCAAAAATATTCTCGAATGTGCTTGAGAGTCAACTCTATCCTCTTCAAATTTCAAAAAATCCCTACAAAGCATCAATAATTTTTCACGGATTTTTAAACAAATTATCGACTTCCCCCCGTTGACTCTCCCAGACCGCACTTAACTGGAAAAAATAATCTTGAATGTGCTTTAGGATCAAGTCTATCCAGGGCCGATCCTAGGGTGTCGGCCGCCCGCGTGCAAGCAGCAATTGTGCCGCCCCATAGAGATAGTCCTCCTAGTCCTCCATATGCAGGCCCTGGCAGTGGTAGCCTAACGCAGGCGCCGCCGGAGGCAACATTTTTTTCTTAGGTGCCACACGCCCAAAGCCGGTCACTTCGAGCCTCAAAATGAATGTTTTTGGACGTTTCAAGTCCAAAAAATCTTGTATGGAATATGGAACGTATTTGTTTTCTATGAGTTGTTTGAATGCGTGTGATTGGTGATCAATGGTGACAGATATTATCTTAAAACTAAGTAGGGCCTGGGCTTGGGCTTAGGTCCGATATTAGAAAAAAGGGCCCAGTGGAAAAACCAAAGATACCCCAGTCCCTAGTCGTAATACTTACCTACACAACATACCCACCTGAACTTGGGACCACACCTGCGAGGATCGGCCCTGAGTCTATCTTTCTCAAACTTCAAAAAATCCTTACAACGCATCATTAATTTTTCATGAATTTCCCAACAATTTATCGACGCTCCCCCGTAGTCTCTCTCAGACCTAACTTGACTGCAAAAGGTGATAAATGGTGAACTCTATCATCTTCAAAAAATCCCTACAAAGCGTCATTAATTTTCCACGAATCTTTAAACAAATTATCGATTTCCCCCCGTAGTGACTCTCCCAGACTTGAATGGAGAAAATATTCTCGAATGTGCCCAAGGGTTATTTCTACCTTTACTGAATCCCAGAAATTCCCTAGAACATATTATAATAATTTTATTTGATTGAATGGTCGACTGTAATATACACGAATCTGAATATGAATGTGAAGCTAACTTCAGCCACATCTACATTTCCAACTTTCTTGATTACGCAAAGACCAACATTTTAGTTTTAAATTCGCACACGGTATTCGTTTTTGAGAGGCAAGATTAAGAGAGAAAAGATTCTTAAACTTTTTTCTGTAGCTATAGTCAATAAGTAAATGTCATTGTGTTGATAAAAATGTATGGAATTAAAAATTGTTAGGACAGTATAAAAGTTTAACATACATAAGGTATTCTATCTTCTCATGTCGGATGTCGAATATATATACCTCGATCCCTACAAAATTGTTCTTCGTGGGGATAGTCCAGACCTCGATGAAAAGTTTATATTTCTGAAGTAACGACCGAAAAGATAAACTTCTTCCTAGATAAAAGAGGAATACACGTGTCCGAGGTTAAGCATTTTAATCAAAATATTCAATGGACTAACTCCAGAGAAATTAGCAAAGCAATAATTTAACTTAAGAACTGATGTGCTTCAACAGAATTCAACAAAACTTAAAAGCTAATTCCGAAGTGGGTGGCTTATTATTGTTATCACGTTTCAAACCCAAAAATAAATGACAGAATCACTTATCCGATCACAACTAGACTGGGAGAGAGGACTACGACAAAAATAGCAACAATCTCAAAGATTTGACAGTTCTCATTGAAAATAACTTAGATGTCAAATGTCGACGACATATGCTTATTGTTCACTTTATAGATGAGTTAAAGTCACTCGGTATCTGCCAATAACAACTTTTTAAAAAATTCAACTACAGCATGGATTTGAACCTCATTGACAAAAATAAGATCAATTAGAATAAAAAATTTAAATTAAAAGGACTACCTACTAAACCCAATCCCCAACTCCTAGATGTTGAAATTCTGATACTTAACGAAAGTTTGCTGTTCAAAGACGTTGGACTAATACTTTATCAAAGTATTTTTGTACCCAATATATTCTGCCTACATGTACCTAATTCACAAGATTTTTTTAGATGAATGCTGCACCAGTACCCACATTAATTCTTCTTCTTCAGAAAAAAAAAATCCTATCATCTTATCATAGGTATTCAAAAGCTCGAAAAAAGTAGCTCAATTAAATTTTACCAATAATTATACCACTAACTTTTCGGTATTAAAAACTAATTAAATTCTTCCACAAATAAGCAATAAGCTCCTACAAGACAATGGCGTGCAGCTATGCTAAAACTACCATCAAATGGTACCGTGGCGGGTACTGTTAACGCGACTTCTGTGATTAGAAAGTTAAAATCGAAAGCGTTTCTTGTGGCTGACTTCCTTTACGTATCTACAGCAACAAACCAGTCACCTGAAGGTTAATAAAATAATGTGGTGTTTTATTTAACTGAAAAGTAATTTTTGGTTGCACCATTTCAGAAATTTTTGATAAACATGCCAGTTAATCTGTACTTAAATACTAGTGCAATATTAGGATGATTCGTTCCTTGTCCTTATGGTTTTTGTTGTTTAGTTCAGGTGAGTACCATTTTCTAGGTCAACGTACTACATATGGGTGCTTTTGTTGTCTTGAAATTTATATTTCTTATTTATCTATTTTGTTTCTTAATTTAATATTTTTCTCTTGTTTTGAACTTTAAATAAATTGGAAATTACTTTATAGATGTAGGTATTCTACCTTACTTTGGATTCCAAAAGAACCTATAAATAGTTTTCCTATGAGAGTGCGTAAAGCACGCAATAGTATGTGTAGTGCGTAATCTGATCACAAAAAAAAAAACTTCAAACTCTGTACATATTATCATAATTTAACATATTTGACTATGGGTACTTCTTAAAGTTGTACCAATCCCTAATCTAATCTGACTGTCACGCCCAAAAATGACCTTTGGGTAGGTACATTCGAATTATTTCATCAATTTTAGTTATAAAGCTCTTTGAAATTTCTATACCTAACGGGCTAATTGAAAATTGAATCGCCTTGACTTATTCCTGTGCATATTTGTACTACCTTAGTCAATTCATGAATCACTCAGATTTTGGGTTTTTCGGTTTTTAAGATGATCTAGAGTGTTTTCGTTTCAAATATTATGTGCTAGTTTTATAAGTTATGCCCCAATTGAATTCTTTCGCTTCTGACACCAAATTTTCATAAATTCCGCGGGTCCACTAAAACTTACAACTTTTTTTAAACAAATTTTCCCAGAAATTCACTAATAACATTATTGCATTGCAACTATTGCATTCACCAATAATTTTTACGCTTTTGCTTAATCTTATAAGTACAGCAATTTTTTATTGCTAAATTGCAACTTACAAACTACGCGCCTCATATACGAAACCATTCACTCTAGAATGCGAGTGAATGCTTATTGGTTAGGTAAATCACACAATGAAACTCCTGAATATATTCAAGCTCGAGTCTTAAATAGTGGCGCCAGCTTCTCCGTAAGTCTTTTTTTTTTAAGCTAACAATGGTAAATGGTAGAAGAGGTGAAAAATATGTGAAACCAATAACAGGAAAAATATCCTGAACTATAAAGCACTTAGGTATAGGTAAATACGTTAAATATCTATGTTTATGTAAATTTAAAATAATAAGTACCTATGTATTTGAAAATCATATACACATTCTAGTGATGTGTGCTTTTGAATAACATTTTTACAAAATTCGAGCAAATAATTATGTGATTCGTGGTTTTTAAATGCTTATCATACCTATTCAGGTTTATGTCAAGATGACGAAGATGGTCCATACAAAGGTAAATTCCTCGGTCAGCTCAATTCGTATCATCATCAAGTCTCTGGAGATGTTTACGCCGTTGACAAGTACACATTACTTTTAACATCATTCAATTATGATGGAAATGGAGCTGATACCTTCTTCTGGGCCGGTGCAGCCAACAGACCGGGCCCTCAAGGATTTATCGTACCAGACGAGAACGGAAGAACGAACGTCCTTAAACGTTACTTCAACCAAGATTTCACCTTAGTATTGCCGGACAAGAAAAAAATCACCGAAATTAAATGGTTGGCCATCTACGATATTGGTTCGCAAAATACCTTTGGTGATATTTATATACCGGAAGAATTTGAGCCTCCTAGCACTCAAAAGATAGCTCAGCTCACAGGTAAAAACTCTATTAGTACTATTTCCGTGGAAATTGTGGATGCCAAACAAATTAAAATAACCGGGTTAACCTATGATGGGAAAGCTACTGGAGCTTACTTTTGGGTGGGTGTTGGAACTCTCCCAGTTTCTAAAGGATTTAAAGTTCCAGATGAACACGGATAGTAAGTTAATTTATTATAACACATGATAATACTAATATTTGGGTTTCAGTTTAGATCCTCTTAAATCTTACAAAAATAAAACATTAACTTTGGAATTACCAGGAGATCTGACTATTTTCAATATAAATTGGTTTAGTATTTTCGATCATGATACAAACACCAATTTAGGGTCAATTCTTATACCAGATGCTTTAAATGTGCCTCCATCATTAGTAAAAATTATTGTAAGAATTAATTTGAAAAAAAATCTGAATATTGTGTATACCTAGTTCAATTTGCTTTAGCCTTACAAAGATGAACTACCCAATTGCCTCCAGCTTCACAAAAACTTTCAAGTTTCCTGGGAAATATTCGGTCCAGCAATAACTATTCAATTGGCTGGCATGGTCGATGAGGATGAATATTTGGCATTTGGTATATCAGGATCTCCAGAAAAAAGTCAAATGGTTGGAGCTGACGTGGCGGTAGCTTATATTGATGGTTATCTAGGATATGCTACTGATTATAATATCACAGCCTTGACACCGGTAATAAGCTTCATTAATTTAATAAAATGGTTGATGAATGAACACAGTATATTTGCCATTATTGTGAATTTTATTGCATGCTGCTTGATGAAAAAAGAAAATTGTAGCCATAAGCGGAACTAGGCTCCAAATTTGAGGGGTGCTGCAGCACCATTTTTTTTTTTTTTTTGATGGAGTTTGATGGAAAGGAAATAAGACACATAAAAAAAAGTTAGTTCCACGAGGGTTTGAACTTACGTCATCATTTGCCTTTTTTTTGAAAAATAGGTTTTTTTATGTCAGAAATTTCAAACAAACATATAGTTCGTTGCACGGCACGAAGGTTTTTACTTACGTCATCGATTACGATGACGTCATAACTTAGAGAAAAAGTTAAGTCATAGATTAATTCATAGAGCACCTTCAGAATTATTGTTTTGTAATACATTTTTTAACTTAGAATAGAGTTTGTTCAGTAATCCGAAAATATATAAATAAATTTCTCCTGCAGTGATTCTTCACTGGAAAATTTTGAAATTTTTCCTCTAAGGAGCTCCTCACTTTCCTCTTTCTCCTGTAAAAATTTCAAAATTTTCCCGTTGCCAGTTTTCCAGAAAAAAATTAAAATGTAAGAGGATGAATTTTCCTTAATTTTGCCTAAATAAGTCAATTTTCTTTGACTTTTTCCTGGAGTGATTTTTCACTGGAAAATTTCGAAATTTCCCTATAATGAGCTCCTCATTTTTCTCCTTTTACCTGGAAAATGTTCAAAATTTTCCCTTTGCCAGTTTTCCAAAAAAAAAATTAAATGTGAAAGAGTGAATTTTCCTTAATTTTGCTTAAATAACTCAATTTTCCAGAACTTTTTCTGGAGTCATTTTTCACTAGAAAATTTTTAAATTTTCTTATATTGAGTTCCTCACTTTCTTCTTTCTTCTGGAAAAATTCCACAATTTTGCTTTGCCATTTTTCCAGAAAAAAATTGAAATGTGAAAGAATGAATTTTGCTTAAAAAAGTCAATTTTCCAGAACTTTCCTCTCGACTTTTCTTGGAGGGATTTTTTACTAGAAAATTTTGAAATTTTCCTATAATGAGCTCCTTATTTTCTTCTTTCTCTTGGAAAATTTTCACAAGTTTTGCTTTATTAGTTTTCCAGAAATAAATTGATATGTGAGAGGATGAGTTTTTCTTAGTTTTACTTGAAAAAGTCATTTTTTCAGAATTTTTCCCGGAACGATTTTCCATTGGAAAATTTTGAAATTTTCTTATAATAAGCTCCTGACTTTCCTCTTTTAACTTTATTGCCAGTTTTCCAGAAAAATATTAAAATGTGAGGGGATGAATTTTCCTTAATTTTACTTGAAAAAGTCAATTTTCCAGAATTTTCCCTGGAGTGATTTCTCACTGGAAAATTTCGAAATTTCCCTATAATGAGCTCCTCACTCTCCTCCTGTTCTTGGAAAATGTTTACAATTTTCCTTTTGCCAATTTCCTAGAACAAAATTAAAATGCAAGAGGGTGAATTTTGCCTAAAAAAGTCAATTTCCCAGAATATTTCCTGCAGTGATTTTCCACTGGAAAATTTTGAAATTTTCCTATAATAAGCTCGTTACTTTTCTCTTTCTTCTGGAAAAATTTCACAATTTTCCCTTTACCAGATTTTCGAGAAAAAAATTAAAATGTAAGAAGGTGAATTCTCCTTAATTTTGCTTAAAAAAGTTAGTTTTTCAAAATTTTTCCTGGAGTGATTTTTCACTAGAAAATTTTGAAATTTTCTTAAAATGAGCTCCTCATTTTCCTCTTATTCCTAAAAAATTTTCAAAATTTTCCCTATGCTAGTATTCTAGAAAAAAATTAAAATATAAGAGGTGAATTTTCCTTAATTTTACTTGAAAAAGTCAATTTTTCAGAATTTTTCGTGGAGTGATTTTTCACTGGAAAATTTTGAAATTTTCCTATAATGAGCTCCTCACTTTCCTTTTTCTTTTGGAAAGATTTCACAATTTTTGCTTTGCCAGTTCTCCAGAAAAAAATTGAAATTTGAAAGAATTAATTTTGCTTAAAAAAGTCAATTTTCCAGAACTTTCCTCTCGACTTTCCTTGGAGTGATTTTTCACGAGAAAATTTTGAAATTTTCCTATAGTGAGCTCCTCATTTTCTTATTTCTCGTGGAAAAATTTCACAAGTTTTGCTTTATTAGTTTTCCAAAAATAAATTGAAATGTGAGAGGATGAGTTTTCTTAATTTTACTTGAAAAAGTCATTTTTTCAAAATTTTTCCTGGAGCGATTTTCCATTGGAAAAATTTGAAATTTTCTTATAATGAGCTCCTGACTTTCCTCTTTCTCTTCTTTTGCCAGTTTTTCAGAAAAAAATTGAAATGTGAGAGGATGAATTTTCCTTAATTTTGCTTGAAAAAGTCAATTTTCCAGAATTTTCCCTGGATATGATTTCTCACTGAAAAATTTCGAAATTTCCCTATAATGAGCTCCTCACTTTCCTCTTTTTCCTGGAAAATTTTTAAAGTTTTGCCTTTGCCAGTTTTCCAGAAAAAAATTAAAATGTAAGAGGCTGAATTTTCCTTAATTTTGCTCAAATAAGTCAATTTTTCAGAATTTTTTATGGAGTGATTTTTCATTCGAAAATTTTTAAATTTTGCTATAATGAGCTCTTTATTTTTCTCTTTCTTCTGGAAAAATTTCACAATTTTCCCTTTGCCAGATTTGTAGAAAAAAATTAAAATGTAAGAGGGTGACTTCTCCTCAATTTTGCTTAAAAAAGTTGGTTTTTCAAAATTTCTATTTTACTGGAAAATTTTGAAATTTTCGTAAAATGAGCTCTTCATTTTTCACTTAATTATTCCTGGAAAATTTTCAAAATTTTCCCTTTGCAAGTTTTCCAGAAAAAAATTAAAATGTAAGGGATGAATTTTTTTTAATTTTGCTTAAATAAGTCAATTTTTTAGAACATATTTGAGATTTCATCAGTCATAAAAAAAAACAAAGAATCACCCTTTGCCGTTTGTAGATGATATTTAGGAATACCCTCTATAATATGCAGGTAATTAATTTATATATTTGGGACTCCAATGATTTTTTAAAGGCCGGTATTTCAATGTCACTTTAAGATATAGAATAAACATAGATAATAGGTCTGTTCGCAGAGAAATCACAAACCAGTCAGAGTGAATCTCATTGGTTGAAACTAGTTTTCTGACTGTTTCTGATTGTTTTCAACCAATGAAATGCGCTCTGACTGGTTTGTGATTGCTGTGCGAACAGGCCTATTGACAACATTGTCTGACCTTGTTCGATGACGTCATCCTAAATATGACATAAAAACCGTATATTTTAGGGTAAGTCTTGATTTTAAGGTAATATTGTAATACCGACCCCGGTTGAAAAATTTTATTCCATAAAAATAATAATTGCGAACGTGCTCTATGAATTAATCAACGACAAATATTTTTTTCTAAATTATGACGTCATCGATGACGTAAGTGATTACAAAAAGTGTAACAAAAATAAATAATTTGGTTGCACTAATTTTTTATATTAGTGTTAGGTAGTGCCACTGTAGGTAGTGTTATGAGGAATGCCGAATGGGAGTGCTAATTTTTGCTTTAGGGGGCTTAGCACCCCCAAGCACAAGTTGCGCCTATGATTGTAGCAATTTATCCAGGAATATTTTTTCATATTTGTAGTGTGTAAAAGTACTTGGGCAATATAAAGGCGTCTGTAAAGATGAACTTGTTGGTGGCCAGAATACTAACCAAATGCATAATGCAATACGAGAAAATGGAATAAATACTATTAAGTACAGAAGATCCCTTATTTCACGTAAGTGCATACCTACTTTTTGATTTATTTTTCAAAATCTACAATTTCCAAGTATTATAGTTTCTATTCGTGTAACACATTTTTACTCTTTTTACCTTTTAGCCGACAACGGTGACAAAGAATTTCTAGAAGATAGTCCAGTATTCATCGTATGGGCAATGGGTAAGCTTGACGAAAACAAGGAACCAGCCTTCCATGACTTTTATCCCAAAACCAACATTAGCATCAAGCTTAAACCAAAGGAACCGCAAAAAACTTGCTACGCTTTTACCAGGTCAGAACCGGAACTTGGAGATCCTTGGAGCAAAGCTGAAATATTCGATAAAGGAATCAGACACTTTACCAGCACCATTGGACCTTCTGGTGGCAAAAAAGCTTATCAAGCCATCACAAGTAATTATTATTCCTAAAATGGAGAATATTTTTGTTAAATTGCTAATTTCCAGATCACACTTCCACAGCATTAGCTTGGTACATAAACGGATTTCTAGCTCCTGAATTGTGGCTTCGCAGAGGTTTATCGTACGTTTTTAAAGTTCACGGAGGTAATAATCCACATAATCCAGAATATTATCATCCAATGATAATAACTGATGATCCACATGGTGGATATGATCGATTAACCGATGTGGATCAATCGAAAATCCGAGTATTGGCAGGCGTGGAATATTCTAGAAGAGGAAGACCAAGGCCAACAGCATGTAAGAACTGTTTTGCTATGTTTCAATTTTTGTCTAATCTCCAATTCTCTTCAGCTGGTTCACTTTGTCTATCGAAATACAAAGACACACAAGACAGAAGACTGGACGACGATTTTGAATCGTTTAAATATTTCAACAGATCTCTTGAAGGTTCTTGTGAGGCTGGTGAACCTGGCCGACTGGAATTCACACCAAATTCTTCATGGCCGGATGTGGTTTACTACAATTCATTTACTCAGGCCAACATGGGCTGGAAAATTCACATTATCGATAGTTTTAATCAAAGAACTAGCAACAGTGCGACAAATTTTTCTGATAAATTAATTTTGAGTTTTTGTATGGTGATAATTTATCATTTGCTGTGATGATGAATGTTAAAAGTAGAAAAATGTGTCTTGAATTTTATGAAGAAAAAAGTATTATGTATAGTGGGCCAAGAAATCCAGTCATTGGTGAACTTTCAGATCCAAGGATAGAAAGATTTACTATGGTTATTTATTTTGGATTGTATAATTTATATTTATTAGAACCTTAATCATTAGCCGTGTCCTTTTTGTGATATGTTTGTTTTTTGTATTTTCATAAATTATTCCATCCATTGATTTATTCTTCCATAAACACATATTCAAGTATTGTTAATATTTGCGTTTTCTTTATTTCTACATATGTACTCACCTTTAAGTCTGCAGGATGAAATTATTTTCAGTTATCGGAAAGATATTGAGCTCCCTGTTCATGCAATAATACCTTGAAATAATTATACCGATCTGGGTTAGACTGCTCATTTATATTGATCTGGTGGTTTCCATTTGTATTTTTAAATGATGTCGCATATTCCGTGGGTCCACTTAAACTCTTATTATTAACAATACCATCTTTTATTGAACTTGACTTTACGAAATTCACATAACTGTTGAAGACAATAAATTTCGATGATCCTCTTTATAATTGTCAATTATATGCTGGTGTTAGCTTCAGGGATCTACCTTTCTTCTCATGATACCAAACTCTGTCATTCTCCTGAAAACCTCTAGAGTTTGGCTTTCATTCGGTCACTCGTGAACTCTGTCGTTTCTCTATCTTACAGATCGCGTTATAGAATCCTGAAAATGTTGCACATTGTTGGCACCATGTCTCGACATCAGGGTTATAATATCATCATCATCATCATAAATCAGTCTTGTCCTATTCTTCGGCTAAGCTCACAGGATTGGTTATCTCTGCGGATTCATGTCCTAGATATTTATACGATGTTACGTGTGGGATTTCTTTTTCTTCTATTTCAAGATTACAGCCAGGGACCAGATTTGTCATAAATTGGGCTTTGGCGATGTTGATTATTAATCAAATTTTTTGGGAAGCTGATGACAGTTTCGTGAGCATTTCATTTGCTTCATCTAGTCGGTCTGAGATCAGTACGATATCGTCAGCGTAACGCCAATGGTTCAGTTTTTCTCCATTTGCGTTTATTCCCGTATTGTCTAGTAGTATCTTTTTAAACATGTACTCAAGCAGAGTTGTAAAAAGTTTGGGAGAGATCATATCACCTTGTCGAACGCCCTTTTCAATTTTAAACTGGTTTGTTTCATCATGCAATCTTACTTTTGCTATTGCGTGTTTACACCTGTGTCGCAGTAGCGATATATAGCGGTGGTCTATACGACAGTTGGCAAGAGCTTTGAACAATGCGTGGTGGTCTTCGGAATCGAACGTCTTTTCATAGTAGGCAAAAGTTAGAATTAAGGATTTGTTATGTTCTACACTTTTTTCTATCAATGACTTTATAATCTGAAGGTGATCGTTTGTTCCGTACCCAGCCCAAAAGCCTGCTTGTTCTCTTGGCTGATATGATTTTAATTTATTAGTAAGACGTGCAGTAAAGTTTGGTAAATAATTTATATAGATGTGTGAGCAAACTAATCGGTCTGTAGTTTTGCAAGTCTCTGATGCTGCCATTCTTATGCATAATAATGATGATGACATTGTTCCACATCTCCGGGATTGTTGATTCGTCAAGACATTTATTAAAGAGTTTGTTTATCACTTTGAGTAACTTTTTTCCGCGTAGTTTCACAGCCTCTGCGACAACACCATCCTTGTCCGGCGCTTTGTTGTTTTTCATTTCTGAGAGTTTGAGAGTTACCTTGAGACCTCTTCTTCGCTCATCGGTGGCATTTCTTCTGATCCCTGATTTAATGTATATATGAGGTATATTTTCCGGTGTTTCTCTCTGGCCTTTGTTACTATAGAAATTTGTATAGAAGTCTTCAACAATTTTTAATATTTCCTTTCTGTTGTTTGTTACTTGTCCTCTTTCATTTTCTAATTTGGTTATTTCGTTCTTCCCTGTGCTTAGTTTATTTCGAGGTACCTTCATGCTTTTATTTTCTTCTATGACCTAAGTGACCCACTTAATATTAAATTTTCTAATGTCAGCCCTCGCAGCTTTCGTTATATCCTTATTCAGTTGTTTAAGCTCGTCCTTGCTTCGTGGGTATTCTCCCAGTAATTTTCTCCTCTTTTTCATTAATTGTTTGGTATTTAAATTCAGTTTTCTCCTTTTTCTTAAGGTTTCGAGCAGTGTTTACTTTGGGCTCCATTGACAATTGACTCCACTATATTTCTATTTCGATCTTCGATATTCATTTAATCCAGGGTCTTCCAGATTTTTATCTATTGTTTTTTGATATTCCTCAGCGTCATTATATTGGTCCATTTCCCGTAGCTCTCACCATTCTGTGGTCACTCTGTACTGACACGCTAGTGCCGTTACATCTGTGCATTTGTTGTCTGTCGATGGTCCGCCTTTTCAAAGAATGTGTTCATGGCAGTCAGTTGATGGTGGAACAGAAACTGTAACAGGATATTTCTTCGTTCGTTCCTTTCTCCAACTCCATGGCATCCCAGTGGTGTTTCGGTTTCATTTTGTTTCTGTCGAAGTTTGGCATTGAAGTCTCCGACTAACATGGTAAAGTACGCTGGAGGACTTGAGATTGCTTGAGTAAGGTCCTCGTAGAAGTCTTTAATATCTTTGTCCGAACTTTGGGATGTGGGTGCGTAGGCTTGAATAATCTTGACATTGTAGCGTTCATTTAATTTCAATATTACAAAGCAAACTCTGGGGCTTACGCTGCTGATCTCAAGTGTATTGTGTACATGTCGCCTATTTATCAGAAGTCCGACTCCTCCTACAAAGCTGTTTTCTTCACACTTGTGGTAATAGTGGTAATACATATTTCCTGACTTCAGTAGGACTTGTTTTTCTCCTCTTTTCGGGATTTCGCTTATTCCGATTACATCCCAGTGTATTTGTTCAAGTTTTTCTTCTAGTTTCAACACTTTCTCGTCAGATGAAAGGGTTATGTGTCGCGATATGCAGTTTTAGTCTTTCTTGGTAGCCTAATCTTACCTGGGGATTCTAAGCACCCTCCAATCGCTGCCTTTTCTAACCGCGACTTTGGTCAGAGACTTGGGATCTGCCGGGGACTGAGGGCCATTTGTGATTCCTACTTTCCATCTTGGTTCAGGTTTGAGGATTTTAGCCTTTCTTATCACGCTGGCCAGTGCGGGTTGATAGGGGATATACTGGGAATTTCCTTTCGCTGATATTCGGTTATAATATATAATCTCGTGAATCGGTCAAGAATCTTGTCCAAGATCTTATTGACTCTCAATTAAGTGATCTCCGACTGTCACATTAAAAACTTTCATAAAACTCGAACAACTTTTGTCCGGGACACCAACCCGTTGCGTTTTGATTGTACTACCATCTGCACTCTCCCAGGTTCGTCAGTAAAAGATCTTTGAGTAACAGTGATTCAAGTGTCTTGAAAGTTAAGCTTCTAGGTAAAATTCCGTGCTAGTTGGTCTATTTGCTTTAGCTTCAAAAATCGTTTTATGTCACTATATATTATTGTTCGGAACTCTATTGAGCCGTTTCAAATAGGAGAATTCTAACAGGAAACAAGAACACCTACTTGATCTCCATCAATTCTGAGGCAGTGCTTACTTTGAAATGGGCATGGTCGGGTGAGCAATCGAGAAATCACGTAGATGCGCCGGCCCCTCCACACCAATGCATTTTCGGAACAATAATAATAAGTGTTTCACTAATCTATAGGAAAACAACTTCGAGTGTCAATTTTTGAATTTAATTGCTATATAATATAAGTCTCACCTCTAGGTATGATTTACCTATATTAAAAGTAGGAGTCTTGAACCTCAGAATAAGGATACTCTTATGAATTCGTTCCATTTTTGGGAATAAACTATGATTAAACCATAAACCAAAATTACTGTTCCACAGCAAAACGATAAGAGAATTTTGAATCTTCTCTCCTTTGAAAGCGTTCTCGTTTGTTAAAAGTTCGAGTTACGAGATACCTTTGCAATTAATAGCTGAACTGGGTTCTATGTACAGGGTTTCCCGGATAAAGATGCACTCTCCGTAACCATAAGAGATACAGGGTTGGTTAAATTTGGAAAAAGTTGCGCCATTACTGAGCTCAGTGGCATCATGTTTTGATATTTTGGATGATTGGAATGATTCCGAAGATATCCATAGAAAACCGAATTTTGCCGAAATCGGCGTTTGTATTTCTTTGTGTCTTTATTTGAAATGATATCGCAAAATAAAGTTCACACTCTCGCTGCCACTTTTTCTCCATTACATGATAATGTTATTAGATTTTTGATCAGACGTTTCGTTTCTTCGCGATCATCATCAACTTTGTTTTTTCAAATGGTCTAAACTTTTTATTTTATGCTTATTAGACTGTACTTTTTATTCTAAATTCAACGACATATCAAGCTCATAACTCCAGGAATAATAGTTGCCGCACTAGTGGTCCCGGCCTTCGCGATCTCCAAAAATTGCACCGATGGATTTTGAAGTCAGTCAACTTCATCCTTAAAGAATCCTCAAAGGCAAAATTCATTGGTGTAATATCTAGAGATCGGGGGCCCGTTAATGGGACCAATAGTGGCAATTAATGTTCCTGGAATTATGAGCTTGACATGTCGTTGGATTAGGAATAAAAAGTAGAGTTTATTAGGCATAAAATAAAAAAAATCGACGATTTTAAAAAACGTTGATGATGATCGGGAAGAAACGAAACGTCTGATCAAAAATCTAATAACATTATCATATAAACTGAAAAAAGAATATTTTGCCTCAAAGGAAATTCACATTCAATCAAACGAATTAGGACTTTGATATGGGCCAAATGAATGAAGGGTTTAAATTAAACTTGGCAATACTTTGAGACAAGACTGCGATATTTCCTTGTTCTAACGTTATTTGCATTTATATCAAGCTACTTTGTGATTTCATAACGAATGCATGCTTTTAACGTTAAACCAGCAAATATTTGTTTCAAATGCTTGTGGTTTTTGAGTCAATTGATTGGAGGCTTGCTGCAAAATCTATGGACCTTCTCTCAAAAGCCTAGTACTTTAACCCAAATATAATAATCTTTCACTTCAAATCTGTTGGATTTTGGATAAAGGATTTCTAAATTTGAATCAAAACTCCCATTTTTGATTTTAAATCCATTGGTCTTTGAATTAAGGAATTTCGGAACTTGTAACAAAACACGGATTTTTTATTGAAATCCATTGGATTTTACTGAAATAAATTGAATGGAGACTAAAAAAAAAACAAAATTTTCTCAAAAAATTTATTTTGAGATACCTACTTATGGCCGTTTCTACCAATTATTTTAGGGAAGCCTTAACGATAAGTATTCCTTGGACTGACATTTCTCCATGGAAGACTGTCATTTTACGGTATACTTAATACTTATCATTAAGGCTTCCCTGAAATAGTTAGTGGAAACGGCCATTAATAGAACAACTTAATACATATTCAGACGAAGTTGAACTTGTGCTTGCCACATCGCTACACATACAATCTTCTATTTCTGATCCTGAAGAAGAAGCTGGGAAATCAAACCGATCCTCCGCATCTCCAGTAACTAGGATCACAGGGATATTTTCAAAATCCAAGGTTGATGGCCCGGTTGATGGTGATTCGGGACAGTTGATGTCAATGTTTATGGTGTTAAACACACTTTGCTGCCCTGTGTACAATCACTTCCTGACTCTCTGAATTTAATTTATTTTTTTTGATGGCGCTGGATCCTAAAAAACACCAGGAACACTAATATTGAACAACAATTCAAACAAAAAAACTAAAAGTTCTTATAAAAAATTTGATTCAACAAACAGTTGTCTCAAAGCTATTATGCTTTTGAGATGAAACCGGGGAATTCACTACAAAATTTAAAAACTTTTCGCCAAATAAAGCATTCTTTTGTGAGAAAGTTGTTGCTTTTGGGATGATAAGTGTTTATCATCAATTTTATTTAAAAGACAAATGTATACAAATCTAAATCAGGACGCCATGGGCCATGGGGAAACTAAGCTCCTTATCTTTTCAATCAGGAATATGTAATTATAGATTGGCATTTCTTGAAACAATTTTTTGGCATGAACAAACTTATATACTAGTTAAATTATTATTGTTTGGGTAGGTATTATTAATGCAAATCCTGGTTAATACCTAGCAAAAAGCGTCGAAAAGTTTACAAAAACTTACCTTCAAATTTCGTCAGTAAATGGCTTATTGTCCACATCTCCAATAATGCTGTCAAATCCATTTTCAACTAGAACTGCAACTTTTTGTCATTTTCAAAAATTTTGGACCATACGAACGCCTCGCGACGCGACCTCGACCGTCGACCTGATCCACTGATCTATGAACCGAAGGGGCTGAAGGGCGAAAACAGAAAGAAAGAATGGCGGAGTCAGCGTGCAGCACAACCACTACCTATGGACTCGGGGACAGTCGGGACAGTTCGTGTCACGATCTCGGTCAGGGGCGTCGCATCGGGGGGGGGGGGGGGGTAATGGGGGTAATTACCCCCCCCCCCCCCCCCCAGGATCCAATAATCAAGGGAAAAATCACGATGCCCAAAAGAAAATACATTTTTTTGTTTTATTTTCCTCACTAAGGAAATAATTGTTCTGGAAAAGTGAATGACCTTGAAATTTGCAAAAAATTTCGTCTGCGGCGCGTTAGCGGGGGCTTCCATCTTCCCATTACCCCCCCCCCCCCCCCCCCCAGACTGCAAGTCACGCGTCGCCACTGATCTCGGTACGAGTGCCAGGAGGTGCTGTACCGAAACGCCTCGATTTTCCCTGCGACTTGCAGCAAGTGCATATTACTTTTACATAATATTTCGAAATAAGGGTTTTATAGTTAAATGCAGTTATTTTCAGTCAAAATAATTATTAGCCAAACGAATCGAGAGGTAGCCGCAAGCACACTCAATATCTTATCCGAACGTCAATTAATTTGAAATAAATGAAATTTATTTAAACTGAAAGCATATTTGCCAAATGAATGCAATCTTTTGTCACAAGGTGCCTATTTTTATCAGTGTAGTGGAGAAAAAGTGGCAACGAGAATATGAAGTTTATTTTGTGATATCATTCCAAATAAAGTCAGGAAAAAATAAATAAAAACGATTTCGGCAAATGTGTTTTTTCTTTTAGGAATTTCCGAAGTTTCAAAACATGACACCACTGAGCTCAGTAATACGCAACTTTTTCCAAATTTAACCAACTCTGTATAACTGATGGTTACCGAAATCCCTGTAGAGTGCATCCTTATCCGGGACACCCTGTATATGTATGAGCATTAATTATTACTTCGAACCGCCGAAAAATGTAGAAATTTCCTCGAATTCAATCAATTCTCTCATCTGTGTTTAAAAAACAACGTGAATCAACATATTTTACTTTAACTATCGTTTATGATAGTAGGTATCTTTAAAAATGGCATCAAAGCTTTTAATCCTAAAATTATTGATATGCAATCGACAGAAGTTCCGGCCATCTTTAAATATGATAAGATATGACAAAATCCTGGATATCAATACAATTTATTAATGTATTAGGTAAAAATAATGTCTATAAGTTGTGAATGTCTAGAAAAATTATCACCCTGTTTCCCGTGTAAATTAAACGTTATTGCTTACATTGCGGGATGGCTAGGAATCGTAAGTTACCCAAATTAAATTTGGATTTCGAAGCTCTAAACTAATTATTTCAAGATATTCCGAGTAGTTTTCGTTGGTTTAATATCAACCACAATATCAAGCCTTACCAATGATGACCCAAGTATCTACTCAATATTTTTCGGCACACTTTTAGCATACCTTTTGGCCTCACTTCTCGTAAATGTTACCTTTCTCTATGGAATATTTATCGTGAGTATTGATGCAATGTTTATTTTTCAAACTCAATCTAAACTCTACAGGAAAAAAGACATTATATTCTACCCTACATAACAATAATGTCATTCGAATTATGTGTGATAGTTATGGTGACATCAGGCATGTGTATGCTATTATTTGCCATCGGTGCTGTTACTGCAGGACTTTACGTGCTAAATTCAACTGAAGCTTTAACATAAGATATAAAAAATATAAAAATAGTTTTTATTTAAAACTCTTTAGGTATATATACCTAATCTGAGAATGCTACGAGTTTTACTGGACTAAAAAAAGTTGGAACATTATGCTTGTATAGAAATTTTTATAGGTTCTCAATTTGCATCTGAGGATCGAATATTTAGTCCAGGCAGATGAGAGCGCGAGCTTTTCAGTTAGGCTCAAGAAGTAGGAGGGAAGCACTTCTTCAATAATATTTGATACTGTTCTAACTTTGTTCCAAACTTCAAAATTTTTGAACTCCTCGCAAGTCGCATATATAGCTATTCCCAAACAACACAGACATCAAGACGCCTCCAATATATCCACAAATGACATTCAATCTTTTATACAAATGAAGATCCTGCAATTCTATAATACTGGAATAATGTGAATTCAAAAATTTGGAATAAAAAAATTCAAGAGCCTAAAGAAAGTTAGGAATTTAGATTAAAGAAATAAGGGAAAATCAAGAGCTCGGAGGAAAAATTATAAAAATTCAAAAATTTGAATTGAACGAGAAACATTTTCTTGCTAAAATTTCCTTATTATCACTCATTTTATAATAGTCAATTTTTGTCTATTCCAGGTGCTAGGGTCTCCGAGATGATTCTAAGGTTTTTAAATTGTTCTGAAGCGTTTTAAAATGCTGCTGTAAAGTGTTTTGAAATGTTCTAAATGGCCTATTAAAGTTCTAAAGTGTTCTAACTTGGCTTCAAGAATTCTGGAGCATTTTAAAAGTTTTTCAGTAATTTCTAAGCGGTACTGGAACAGAAATTGTAGCCCTTGATAATAAGGGCTACAAGATGGTATTTAGTTGAAATCGCTAGCATTTACGGTTTTTGAGAAAATCTAGTTTGTTTTGGAAAATATGTAGACTCGACTAAATTTCAACTTTGAGGCTCAATAGGTATCTCTAAAACTCTACAAGCTACTGTTATGTTCTTATTATTTCGATCTTTTTGATTTGATGTACTTACGGATGTTTTTTGGTAAATTTTCATAATCATTATAGGAATTTACAGATCCTGAAAAGTGTTGCAACTGATTTGCATCCTTTTCGGACAATTCCATCCCTACAGCGACGTCCATAGCTTTTCTAAAGTTGAATCACGAGTTTCTAGTAATCTACTTTGTATCCTTTTTGAAAGAAGTCCATAAATAAATAGAACATTTTGGAGCTTCAATAAGGCTCTAAAATACTTAAAAATCTGACAGAACAATTTAGAAATTACTGAAAAACTTCTGAAATGGTCCAGAACTCTTCAAGCCCAGTAAGAACACTTTAGAACTTCAATAAGCAATTTAGAACACTTTTCAGCGACATTTTGAACAATTTAAAAACCTCGGAATTATTTCAGAGAGCCTAGGGCCTGGAACACTGGCGTATCCAGGGGTGGGGGGGCAAAGGGGGCAATTGCCCCCCCCCCCCCAGAGCAACATCTTTTTATTCCTTTTATTTTTTAAATATTAGTCAAATAATAAAAAAATAAAATCAAAAATGTACTGAAATTAATTTATTAAATAATATTTTTTTCAACTACATGAACAGGTAGCTTTTTTGTAAATAGAAACTGTTCAGTTGTACGCAATTGTCTGGTAAAGCTGGTAATGCAAAAGGTACCTTTAAGCAGAACCGATCCAAGGGTGTCGGCCGCCCGCGTGCAAAGCGCAATTTTGCCGCCCCATAGGGATAGCCCTCCATACGTTCCTTACGTAAGAGGCGCCGGTGGTGGTAACCCGCCGCAGGCGCCGCCGGAGGCAGAAAGAATTTTTTTTGGTGCCACGGCCAAAAGCATTTGTTTCAAGCCTCAAAATGAACGTTTTTGGGCATTTCGAGTTAAAAAAAACAACCTTGTTTGGAACATATTTGTTTTCTACGAGTTGTTCGAATGCTGTCAATAATGACAAATACTATCCTAAAACTAAGTAGGGCCTGGGTACGAAAATGAAAAATAAGGCTCCATGGCCGTTTGCACCGACCATTTTAAGGAAACCTTAACGATAAGTACGTGTTCCTTAAAATGACATTTTTACATGGAGAAACGTCACTTTAAGGAACACTTATTGCTAAGGCTTCCTTAAAATGGTCGGTGCAAACGGCCATTAGTGAAAAATTAATACACCCCAATCCCTAGTCGTAATATATACTTGCCTACAAACATACCCACCTGCACTTGGAAGTCTTTGGTAGGTACCAAAAAAGTTGGTAACATTGTTAGTTAGTGGCAGTATTCACCTAGTTCTGTTGGACGGTTAGTAATTATTCTTGCAGAATTAGGTGAATTGGGAACAAAAATAAACATTTTGAAAAAACAAAGCAAAAGTATTTAGAAAATATAAAAAAAATTGCGATCCAATGATGCATGTGTAAAGAGTTAATATTATGCGTGAGCCTACACACTGACTGCACTGAACTTTCTATTTAAGCTATCGGGAGATCGGAGTTCAGATTATTTCTTTATTAGAAGTAGTTTTATTTTGAGAAATTCGTGAAAAGTTTTACTACTGCTTGAATCTTGAATGACAGAACTACTGGCGGCTTGCGGCCGCCCCTAAATTTGGCCGCCCGCGTGCGGGGTACGCGCTGCACACCTGCTAGGATCGGCCCTGCCTTTAAGCCCAATTTATAAACTCACCGTCGAACGTTAACGTTTGCGTTTAGCATGCTGTTACCAAGTGAATATAGTGCAGGAAAAAGTCGCTTCCTTCATGAATTTTTTTTTTGAGGTATAACCAAATGAAACCTTTATTACATCACTAGATACGTCATTGGACATCCGAAATGGCTGTTTTCAACTTTTTTAACGGTACCGATTATTTCTAAATCAAAAAATATGTGAAATTTATGAAAATAATTGTTTCGTACTTTTTCACACCTAACTCGTAATATCTCGGAAACTAATTGAGATAATTGCACAATTTTTTCGATGGAGAAAATGTGGACGAACGTAACTGTGCTAATCCGGTTTCCTCGAAATACATAGTTTTTTCTGCATATTGGGAGGAAACTCGGACAGATAGTTTTTTGCAGCACTTTTTTCGGTAAGCGAGAAACTTTTTTGTTTTTAGGAATTTTGCCATACTATCGCGTATGAATTAAAGGTAAGGCTCCGAGAAAGTTTAAAAAAAAAAATCAGTACGATACGATGCCTACTGTTCAAGCTATCGGTACTTGAAGTTGAAAACATGTCTGGCCACGCCACCCTTCTCCCTTGACGCGCTTCCTGTGCGAGTTTCCTCCCAATATGCAGAAACAACTATGTATTTCGAGGAAACCAAATTAGCACAGTTACGTTCGCTCATGTTTCCTCCATCGATTAAAAAAAAATTGTTCAATTATCTCAATTAGTTTCCGAGATATTGCGAGTTATGTGTAAAAAAGTACGAAACAATTATTTTCACAAATTTTACATATTTTTCGATCTAGAAAAAATCGGTACCGTTAAAAAATGTCGTAAACGGCCATTCCATATGTCCAATGACGCATCTAATGATATCACAAAGGTTTAATCTGGTTATACCTCAAAAAAAAAAAATTGAAACATTTTTCGCCCTATTTCGCTGCACTAGTATCAGAAATCTCATAGACGCAAACGCAAACGCAAACGCAATCGGAATCCCGACGTCAAGTTTATAAATTGAGCTTTATGATTCAATCTTTCTGTGGAATGTACAATCATTTAGCTCCTATTGCGTAACCTTTATTAGAAATTTGGGCTTAATCCCTCGAAAACCGCAGGAGCTGTAAAGAAAAAACTAAAAAATATATTGAAATTTCAACACCCTGTAGATCGGTAACGAAGCGTTTGCAAACCCATGTTTCTTTGAAATTTTATTTAGTCATAAGAAAAAACCAAAGAATCGCCCCCTTCCGTTTGTACATGCATGATATTTAGTATTAAAGAACACCCTGTATAATATACCAATATTTATATTTTAGATATTCCAGTGTGAATTTTTTTAGTAATTTAAAGTAGGTATTTATTATACAGAGTGGGGCACGAAAAATTTCCCACCCATGTTTTCTCAGGTGTTAGGTGATCAATCAAAAATCGCTCGAACACGTCAATTTTTGTTTTTGGAGGGACACATTTCATTGGTATTTTCACTCCCTACCTGTCAACCCCTAAGCGGGGAAGACAGATACCTCCAAAATTTCAAATGCAAAAGGGAGTCGAGTGATACGTCATTTGGTAGCTATTTTTGTAAGAATTATATCCTCAAAGCTTTAAGTTGCTACTATTTTCACTACCGAAATGGCAGTGTGTCAAAGTTAGGAAAAATGCTTTTTTCCGAGTATCTGAACTCTGTGATTTTTACCACATAATAACAAAACAACAGATTTTTAAAGGGTACCTATCCATAGTAATAAAATTACATTGGCATTTAATCTAAGTATCGTCATTCAACAGTTCAGTTCAAAATGGTTCATGTTTATTCACTTGAAAAATATGTCAATTTGTTAATATGAGGTAAAAAACACACAGCTTTCACAAGCTATTTCGACAGGGTTGATAGTAGCAATTTGAAACTTTGGGGATATAATCTTAATAAAAATAGCTAACAAATGACGCATCATTCGACCCCCCTTTCCATTTGAACTTTTGGCGGGGGGTACCTGGTACCTGTCACCCCCGCTTAGGGGTTCACAAGTAAGGGGTGAAAATATCAATAAATACCCACTTAACAAAATTGCATCCTTAGAATGTAATAAGAATGTTCTTTTTTTAGGAGGAATGTGCTTAGAATGTTCGCCAAAACCATTGCGAATGTCCTGAGAATGTTCTGAGAAAAGATTGTAGAAATACTGTTTGCAATACCCAAGAACTTCCTGGGAAATCCATTAGGATATTCCTAGAATATACCTATGAGATTCTCAGTATATCCTGAAAAGAATATTCCTGTTTGATTTTAAAAATATGCTCGAAATGTACATTCTCATATTCAAAGAATGTTTCTACGACATTATAGTTATGTTCTCAAAAGAATATTATACCAATATGCTTGAAATATTCTTAGAATATATCTACATATTCTCAATATGCATCCTAGACATAACATTCTTGTTTGATTCTAAGGATATACTTGGAATGTTAATTTTCGCTTCCAAATAATGCTCCTTTCAGCCCTTTTATATCAAAGGCACTGAAAGAGTTGTTGGAAAACTTCTCTGGAAAATACAAGTGTTTATCCAAAGCTCCTTCTTATGCTCTCGTCGCAGAAAGCACGCCAACAGAGAGAAACAGTTTCCAAGGTGATTCAAACGTTAGGCAAGATGTAGATCTTTAATAGCGCGTGGCTCCCTCTCTTGGAAGTCCTACAAAGCAAGAGAAAAAGAATATACCTATAATATTCTTAGTAGGTTCTAGATAGAGCATTATTGTTTAATTGTTCAATTAAGATTTTTAAGTAGGTACTTTAGATAATTAGTTGAACAATATGAAAATATTCTTATCATGGTTACCTACCTACATACACTTCTCAGCACAACTTGGTAGGTATATTCTTAATACTTGATAGAGATATTAGCCGAAAGAACATTTTCTAGGGTACATTATAATAATGTTCATATGACAATATCCAAATAATGTTACATAAAGTAAGGTAGGTTCTTAGCACAATCTTTCAGGTAGATGCATAGAAGCAACATTCCTAGTACATAAATAGAACGTTCAAAAATGAATATTTCAATCGAAACAATCTTAGAATATTCATTAAACATTCCTAAAAGAACATTCCAAAAAGCACTTTGAGGGAATATTCTGAGAATATGAATGTTCTTTCACTGTTATGTGGGTAAAGTCCCTCGAAAACAAAAAGTGATGTGTCCGAACGATTTTTGATTTATCACCTGACACCTGAGAAAACCTGGGTCATCCTGGGACATCCCAGGTTTGCCCCCCTCCAGAACCTCAGGCTGGATACGCCACTGGCCTGGAATAGACAAAAATTGAAATTTATAATCAAGTACTGTTTTAAAACCGGCACAAGAACGGTTTCGAAGCCACTTTGTATACGATTTTCGGATTCTAGGCTTTGCGCAGAATCTTAACGATACTTTATAGAGTTTTCTCCTTTTTTGGAACAAAATTAAAATATACTTTAAAATAAATTTAGTACTAATTCGGCCCTGTATAGCTAGAAACAGGGGATTTACACTGGCCGTCGGGGTACTACTCTACTACGCAGTTAGTATTTTTGCCTGTCTCACTTTCTCATATTTATAAACCTTATCAGTTTACCTTTTTTTTTCGGGTCGGCGGGGGATTGAGATTCGGATTTCTTTGTCGGAAGAGACAAAGGGATTTTGTCGAGTACCGATAGCCGATAGATAAAGTACACACAGTCGCGACCGGGAATTATCGATTTTTCTCATACAACAAGTGAAGATTTTTTGGCCGCCATTTTCCGATAATCCCTCGTGTGCCCACTGTACCAATGGCTACTGAATTTTGGTAAGTAGAACGAACAATTATGTCCTGGTAAACGGGATTTCTTCAATTTTGAATGAACAACCTTTGATTTTTCTGATAAAATTTTCAAATTTTAAGACTGGAACAATCCAGAACTTTCTTATTTAATGTTTTTTTTATTTAAATAGTTATTGGGCAATTAGTAAATTTTATAGAGATTCCAGGTCTAGCATTTGGAGCTAATGTCAGAGAAAGAAGTTTTCCAGAAAATCTTACGCGCCCATTTTCATCATTCAGTCATATGAATAAAGTGTAGCAAATGCTTTTACTCTATCTCCGTCTCTTTTTGCTGCATTAAAGCTGAATATGTTTATCTCAAAAAACTTGAGTAAAAGCATTTGCTTCTGTTTTATTCATATGAGCCAATTTTTTTTTACTTGGCTTTCCAAAAGTGCATTAAAAAGGAGGAAGTATG